TTGGTTCCCGCTAAGGGAACATACCTCGGTTGCAGTTTGTCCCCGGCCCTGGTTGGGTAGTGTGGGAGGCAGCCACTTGATGTGTCCCTTTCACGTCAATGTTTCTCTCTCTCTCTCTCCTTCCCACTCTATCTGAACAAAAAATGGAAAAATGTCCTCGGGTGAGGATTAAAAAAAAAAGGTATTTATTTATTTATCCTCACCCGAGGACATTTTTGCATGTATCTTCAGATAGAGCGGGAGGAAGAGAGAGAGGAAAACACCCATGTGAGAGGGACTCATCGAGTGGTTGCCACCCACACGACCCCAACTGGGGCTGTGGACAAACTGTAACCAAGGTACGTGCCCTTAGCGGGAACTGAACCTGGGACTCTCTGGTCCATGGGCCGATGCTCTGCTGAGCCAAACTGGCCAGGGCTAAGAAGATTACATTTAACATCCTAGTTATAATACCTTAGTCTGAATGTATACTGTCTTAATTTCAGTAATATATAAAAACCCTACTCCTTTAACAGCTCTGTCCCCATCTCTTTCAGTTGTTGTGTCACAGAATTTATACATTGTGTGCCCCAAAACATAAACTAATACTTCTTTAGATGCATTAGTCTCTTAAATTATGTAAAAAACAAAATGTGGAGTTTCGAACCAAAGTTACAATAATACTAGCTTCTAGACTATCAATTTTTAAAAAATATATTACTCTCTTACATCACGTAGCAAACAAAAAATGGAGTAACAAACTATTACAATAATACTAGGTTTTATAACTGCCCATGTATTTACTTTTATTGAGATGTTCTTTGAGCATCTTTAAGACTCTTAAAATAGTCTTTGGTTGGTTTGCCATCACATCTTTTTCAATAACTGTTTCTGTTTATTTTTTTCTTTGAATGGGTGATACTTTTCTATTTATTTATATGTCTTGTGGTTTTTTGTTGTTGAAAACTGGGTTTCTGAATCTAATATTGCGGTAACTCTGCAAATCTGAGTCTCCCTCTGTCACTGCAGAGATAAAGGGGCCAGATCCCTCCAACACTCATAGGCAGGAGGCTCTTGGGATGCAGTCGGAATAAGCATATTCAGAAGCCCTCATGGGAGAATGGATGGTTTTTATTGGTGTGGAATTACACTTCTGGGGTCATAAAGTCCCATGTCCAGTCATAGAAGAGGGGCAATTGTGGATTTAATAAGGCCAGAAATAAAGCCAAAGTCCAGAGTTTCCGTTCCATGGTATAGCTGTGTTCAGATTAGTATTAGTACAGTTTCAGTCCATTAGTCCATTGTATGGGTTCCACATGGCTGTGGGCCACATGGGGAAATGCAGGACGTGGGAGCCCTGCAAGCAGTATGGCATGGGCAGCAAGGGAGAGGGAGAGGGAAGAAAGGCAGCTTGCCTTTGTCTAGGAGACGAAATATTCAGGTTTCACCTGCAGTGGCCACGCCTTTTTGGCCACTGACTTGTTCCCAGTTGTGACAGACAAGTAGACACCTCCCTAGTCACTGAGACCCTACTGGGCATGCAGCTAGACTGCCTTTGTCCAGGCCCTTCCCCCACTGGGGGAATAGACCTGGAGTATTAATTGCAAACTTCCTGGCAAATAAGAATAACCAGGTTATGGCACCAATAACACCTCTATCTACCCCAGGGTTTGCTGGGTTTGGGGCCTTTTTGTTGTAGGCCATCTCTGCCAAGCATCAGCCTGAGGTATAAACTTAAGATCTTCTCAGGTCTTTTCTGAGCCTTTCTCTATTGATATGTGCAGTCACTTTCTAATTACTTCCTATATGCAATTGTGTGTGGATGTTGTAGTCTTTAGTGTCTGGCTCCCAGAAGGAAAAGAAAAAGAAAAATGAAGCGGGTAGGGAGATACTCGCCCTTTAAATGCTCTGGAAGTCACTTCAGCTGCATGGGGAGGGGCTTGTAGCAATGGAGGGAGGTGCATCAACAATAGCCACTTCCTCTTTGTTTGCACCTGTGTGATTAGAAACAATCAGTGATGTAAGCACAGATTACTGACATTTGGAGAACATGGTCCTGTTTGACCACTCTGACTACACAAACTGTGTATAAGCTGCTCCAGGAACATGTGTACAGCTGCCTCCCTCTGAGTGAGGGGTGGGTAGCTACTATCCTGCTAAGATCTGAAATTGACCAAAGTTAACCACAGTTTACCACCCAAGCCTCCAGTAGACTATATTAGTTAACATTCGTCCCTCGCCACTTTCACAATTTCACTCTTCGAAGCTTCACTCTGTTGTAACCCAGGAGAATCAACCTCACTCGGACACAAAGTAATTTTGAATATTAGGAGCTTTATTACCTGCACAGGGACTGCAGCCAACCTACACAGAGGAGAACTGCAGCCCCAAGCTCAGGGGGTGGGTTGCTTATATAGGACAGGGGTCATTCAAGAGTTTAGCAGAGCAAGCAAGGTGCGTGTACAGAAGTGGAGGCAGTTAGCGATAAGCAGGAGGGAACGGAGGTGGGAGGGAGCCCAGGCAAAAGGGAACTGGGTCAGCACACATCTATCCTGCTATTCATTCTATTATCTAAGTTTTAAAAACTAACAAATTCCCTTAGAGAACACATTCATTTAGAGGATTATCAGGCCAGCTGGTACTTCCTCAGGTTGCCTCTGACAGTATCATAGTTAGCCTTTTGTTTATTTAATCAGGACAAAATGATAGGAGCAGGTTATTACACACTCTGTCGTGGTTTTTTTAAATACTACATAGTCATTCCTCGCCACTTCGCGCTTCAACTTCCGCGGCATCACTTTATCACGGTTTTTTCAAATATAGTATAGTGAAAGTGTATATGCATTTTAAGTTTCCACAGATATGAGTGTGCTTATTTGTGCACACCTTTAACAACACAATATTCATAATTTTGATAACGTTATATCTTGTCATTTCAGTCTGCATTTCACAGAAATTAAGTTGAGTGTCTTTTCATTTGTTTAAGAGCTATTTGTAGACTGTTTCATTGCAATTTTAGTTTGTGTCTTTTCATTTGTTTAAGAGCTATTTGTAGACTTATTGCAATTTTAATTTTGGTGTATACTATTAATATTTTTTCTCACATTACTAAGTTATAGTACCTGCTAGAAATAGTGGTCCATGGCAGAAATCTTTATTTTTAGGATATTTTGACTTGTTCAAGGAAGAGAACTGGGAATGGCAGCTAGATTTCAATGTCTTAATATAAAAAGAATGTAAAATATCCCACTAGTAACTTTTTATATTGCTTATATGTTGAAATGGTAATATCTCTTAATATGTTGGATTACATAATGAAATTTCATCAATTTCTTTTTTCTTTCTTTGATGTGGCTAGAACATTTAAAATTAATATGTACCTTGTATTTTATTTTTAATTTTAGACAGTGCTACTCTAGACTGATTTGTCTTTTTAAATATGTTTTTATTGATTTTTTACAGAGAGAGAAGAAGGGAGAGAGAGATAGAAACATCGATGTCAGAAAGGAACATCAATCTGTTGCCTCCTGCATACCCCCTACTGGGGATCGAGCCTACAACCTGGGCATGTGCCCTGACTAGAAATCAAACTGGGACCTCTCAGTCTATGGGACGATGCTCAATCCACTGAGCCACAACAGCTGGGCTCTAGACTGATTTTATAAATATCTTGCATTAGTTGTAGCTTTATAGTGACAGGTAGGTAACATACATATTTTGTACAAAATCTCCCTCTAAAATGCTGATTTTGAAATTGAAGTCATGAAAGGTGTTGAACAGATAGAGTCCTTTGAGAGATACCAGTTAATAGTCCTCTCATCCACCCTATGACCCTTTTGACTGTAGTTGGCAAATATAAAATCTCACCAGAATGGGGGGAGTGGAGAGGAATGCACTGGTTATTTAACTTTAATTTTTTTTTTTAATCCTCACCCGGGGACATTTTTCTGCATTTATCTTCAGATAGAGTGTGAGGGAGAGAGGGAGGAAAAGAGAGAGAGAGAGAAACATTGACATGAGAGAGATACATCGGCTGGTTGCCACCCACATGACCCCAACTGGGGCCAGGGACCAACCGCAACTGAGGTACATTCCCTTAGTGGGAACCAAACCTGGGCCTCTCTGGTCCGTGGGCCAATGCTCCAACCACTGAACCAAACCAGCCAGGGCATGGTTATTTAACTTTAAAAATAAAGAAAAATGTGGCAGACGCTGGCCGGTTTGGCTCAGTGGTTAGAACGTTGGCCTGCGGTCCAGAGAGACCTGGGTTTAGTTCCGCTAAGGGCACGTACCTCGGTTGCAGTTTGTCCCCGGCCCTGGTTGGTTGTGCGGGTGGCAGCCATTTGATGTGTCCCTTTTACGTCGATGTTTCTCTCTCTCCCCCCCCCCCCCCATCTGAACAGAAAATGGGAAAATATCCTCAGGTGAAGATTAAAGAAAAAAGAAAAATGTGGCAGAATTTTTTTTTTTTTTTAAGTGTTAATGGATCTGAACCCCAGCCTTGGTTTTTGAACAAGAGAATTTCTGAGGCACCATGTTTAGTCTCTTATGATCAGGACTTTGCTACTGGTCCATTGTGGTTCATTCTGATAGACCTTTGAAGTAGAATCAACTAAGATAATAGGTGTAGTTTCAATTCCCCTGTCACCTGTTAAAGAAAAGGAGGCTTTGGAGGTTCCAAGGAAATTCAAGAGAGAATAGAAACCTGAACTGTGGAAAAGTTTCCCAGCACTCCCATGTGGCCCTGCACCTGTAGGTTTCATCAGTGCAATTTAGGAAACATTTTCCATCAAATCTCTGAAAGGCTCATTTACTGAATAAAGGGCTCAAAGCAGAGAGAACATCAGATCTTTCTAATTCTAAGAGGTAAAGTTCAGAGGAGCTGCGTTTTTTGGCAAGTGGAGAATAGAAGCAACAGTCATTGGGTGACAAGTAGTAAATTATATGTAAGAGGGTTAACTTAATAGAGTTTATTAGTTTGAACTATTACCTACAAAGACTTCCCTTTGGTTTCTCTTTAGAGGCAGCCTGTGTGTGATTGATTGGAAGACATCAGAAAAACCAAAACCTTTTATCCGAAATACATTTGACAACCCACTGCAGGTTGTGGCATACGTGGGTGCCATAAACCATGATGGCAACTATAGCTTTCAGGTCAGGATGCTAAGCCTCTGCTTAAAGCTTAGCTCAATGCTTGTTTATAGCTACTTAACTCTTTATGGTTCTTATTCTTTTTATATCCCACTATTTACTCTGTTCCTTGTCTACCACTTTAAAAACCACTTTCCCTCTTCTGAGACTTAGTTGTTTTTGTTGTTGTTAATAGTTCTTTAATAATGACAGTCTATTCTTCAGTGTCTTATCTGTCATCTTTGTGCTCTTGTGTATCCTGGTGTAGTCTTTCATTAACCTGTATTAGAAATTGAGTTAGATGTTACTGTAGATTGTTTTGTTCTGAATTTGCCCTAGAGTAAGAAGGAAGTTAACTTAAACTCTGGTCCTACTTGTTTCTTCCTAGGTTCACTGTGGTTTAATTGTGGTGGCCTACAAAGATGGATCTCCTGCCCACCCACATTTCATGGACCCAGAGCTGTGTTCCCAGTACTGGGAAAAGTGGCTTCTTCGACTAGAAGAATATACAAAGAAGGAAAAGGACCAGAAACCAGATTAGGTGTGGGACGCTGTATGGGAACTTTCAGCACTTTCTCACAGTTTGGGAAAATATATTGTTGTTTACTGAGACTTAAAATGGAAGTTCCACAGGATCTGAGAGCTGCATTAACACAAGCATAAAAATTAATTTGTTAAAATTAATTGCAACCAAAAAAACCGAAAAGTCAAAAAGTTTAGATATAAAGAACTGGACTTGAGCACACAAAAGACCAACTATGCTACCTCTGTGATCTACTTGAAAAAAGGCAAGTAAGATTGGCACGGCGTTGGTGGCTCTTGGACCCCCTGGGACCTTTCTGTGTCCTGGGCAGGCTGCCCAGTCTTTGAACTGAAATTGGAGGGCAGTGAGGCTTGGTGTGCCAAGCATTTCCCTAGGGTCACACCAGGAGGGAAGGAGCCCCAGAGCCCCAGGGTTTGTTGTGGCAGAACTTGCATTAGCCAACTATTATTGCCAATACAGTTTCCTAGATCTTGTTTTATATATTGGGGTTCTCCATATGTTTCTTTGGGAAATAAAATTTCCATTTAACATTTTTGAAAAATAACTATGTGATTCCTTAGCCTCGAATATTGCTCTCTGAAGTATGGAGCATATTCACCATATCATTGGCAATACCCCTTGGCATATCACCAGATAATTCCCAGAAGTAATTGTAGGTATTTTAGTAGCTGTATTCTGGTATGAATCATGTCCATAGAGAAAATGTATTGTTTGTGGAATTTTTCAGCTATGGGGAACAATAATTCAATATATTTTGGGGTGTTTGATAAGTAATAAAAATTATTAGTTGTCACTTGGTTTGGGAAACTTAAATAAATTCCCACTATAGCCCTGGGGAAGGGTCTCTATTTTATGGAGTGGGTGAGCATTTAAGTTATTGTCTTCAAATCATAGGGTGCTACAATTCTTTCGTTAGCCATTAATTATAAGAAATAAAATACAAGATGTGAGTAAAGCATTGAGATTTTTGTTTTTAATGTTTTTATTGATTTTTTAGAGCAAGAAGAGCCCTGGCCGGTTTGGCTAAGCGGTTAGAGTGTTGGCCTGCGGTCTAGAGAAACCTGGGTTTGGTTCCCCATTGCAGTTTGTCCCTGGCCCTGGTTGGGTCTTGTGGGAGGCAGCCATTCGATGTGTCCCTTTCACGTCAATGTTTCTCTCTCTCTCTTTCTCTCCCACTCTATCTGAACAAAGAATGGAAAAATGTCCTCGGGTGAGGATAAAAAAAAGAGAGAGAAAGAAGAAGGGGGAGAGAGAGAGAAACATTGATCTGAGAGAGAAACGATTGGCTGTCTCCTGCAAGCCGCATAGTGGGGATCAAGCCAGAAACCCATGCATACCTCAAATCGCCACAGCAGTCTTGAAAAAGAAAAACAGAGTTGGAGGGATCACATTACCAGATTTCAGGTTATACTACAAAGCCACTGTAATCAAAACAGCCTGGTACTGGCACAAGAACAGGCATGTAGACCAGAGAACAGAGAACCCAGAAATGGATACAAGGCAGTACACTCAATTAATATTTGACAGTGGTGGCAAGAGCATACAGTGGAGTAAAGACAGCCTCTTTAATAAATGGTGTTGGGAAAATTGGACAGCTACATGCAAAAAAATGAAACTAGACCATCAACTCACACCATACACAAGATAAACTCAATGGATAAAAGACTTAAATGTGACTCACGAATCCATAAAAGTCTTAGAAGAAACTGTAGGCCACAAAATTTCAGACATACGCAGCACAATTTTCACTGATACATCACCTAAGGCAAAAGAAACAGGAGAAAATGAACACATGGGACTACATCAAACTCAAAAGCTTCTGCACAGCAAAAGATACAATCATCAAAATGAAAAGGCAACCCACTGTATGGGAGAACATCATCAGATAAGGGGTTAATTTCCAATATATAGAGAGTACTCATACAACTCAACAAAAGGAAGACATAGAACCCAATTAAAAAATGGGCTGAGGAACTAAATTAGACACCAATGCAAATAGGACTTAAAAATGGCTAAGAGACGCCCTGGCCGGTTTGGCTCAGCGGTTAAAGCGTCAGCCTGCGGTCCACAGAGACCCGGGTTCGGTTCCCGCTAAGGGCATGTACCTTGGCTGCAGTTTGTCCCCGGCCCTGGTTGGGTCGTGTGGGTGGCGGCCACTCGATGTGTCCCTTTCACATCGATGTTTCTCTCTCTTCCTCTCTCTCCTTCACGCTTTATCTGAGTGAAAAATGGAAAAATGTCCTCGGGTGAGGATTAAAAAAAAAAAATGGCTAAGAGACATATGAAGAAATGCTCAACCTTACTAATCATCAGAGAGATGCAAATTAAAACAATGAAGTATCACCTCACACCTGTCAGAATGACTGCCATCAACAAATCATCAAACAACAAGTGTTGGCGAGGGTGTGGAGAAAAGGGGACTCTAATACACTGCTGGTGGGAAGGCAGACTGGTGCAGCCTCTATGGAAAACAATATGGTGTTAACTCAAAAAATTAAAAATTGAACTGCCATTTGACCCAGTGATCCCACTTCTAGGAATATACCCTAAGAAGCCTGAAACACCAATCAGAAAGAATATATGTACCCCCATGTTCATAGCAGTACTATTTACAATAGCTAAGATCTGGAAACAGCCCAAGTGTCCATCAGTAGACGAATGGATAAAAAAAGCAGTGGTACATATACACGATGGAGTACTATGCAGCTGTAAGAAAGAAAGATCTCTTATCCTTTGAGGCAACATAGAGGGACCTGGAAAGTATTATTTGAAGCTAAACAAGCCAAACAGAGAAAGACAAGTATCATATGATCTCACTTATTTGTGGAATATAATTAACATAACAGTCTGAGGAATGGGGTAGTCCCAGAGATGTGGAAGGGGGGTACAGATTGACAATCCCCAGAAGAGCGGGTGATGGGGGACAGATAAACCACAGAATTTATATGCATGTATGCAAGAACAATGGACGTGGACAACAAAGCTGGGGACAGGGAGGGAGGGGGAGGGGGGAATTAGTTGGCGGGGGGAGGAGAAACATCTGTAACAAAAATAAATAATAAAACAAACAGCCCTGGCCTATTTGGCTCAGCGGTTGGAGCGTTGGCCTACGGTCCAGAGAGACCTGGGTTCAGTTTCCGCTAAGGGCATGTACCTCGGTTGCAGTTTGTCCCTGGCCCTCGTTGGTCGTGCAGGTGGCAGCCACTCGATGTGTGTCTTTCATGTTGATGTTTCTCTCTCTCTCTCTCCCTCTCTCTCCCTCCCACTCTGTCTGAACAAAAAATGGAAAAATGTCCTCCGGTGAGGATAAAAACACAAACAAAATTAATTAATAATGAAAAAGGAAACTCAGGTCTGTGTTCTGACCGCCAATGAAACCGGGACCTCTTAGTCCATGGGACAACAATGCACTGAGCTATACCAGCTGGGCTTATTTTGTTTTAATTTCTGTGTTTATAGACTAATTACACAAACTTGGAAATTGTTTAGACTGTTTTTAAATTCATAATTATACCCCTGGTCTAGTAGCTTTGGTATGTGTTTTATGTAAAGGAATACAAGGAGGTGTCCTGAATCATGGTCACCTGGCAATGAAAACAAGTTTTAGGTAGGAAAGAGGATGATTGTGGGTGACCTTTTATTGACTATATACATTTTCATTTTTTAAGCAGCATATATTCCTGTAACATGTAATATCCATAATCTGGAGTCAAGTGAGAAAATTAAAAATTGTACCACTGGATTTTTCCACACTGCTCTAGAAAGCCTCACCGTGGGATATAGGAGACCAGACCCAATGAGACTTCATCTTAATACAGTTCAGTTGGTGTAACATAAATGCACCTTGGACCTGTCACTATGGATCAAGAGTCTTCCAAGTTAGTGGTGGTATAAAGAGTTTCATAAAGACCCTTAGAGTCTGATGAAGAAAACATGGTTGGTAGAACAGTGTAGTCCCTTGGTAGGTTTCCCTGAACCACACAAGGGCACCCCAGTTTTGCAGTACAATCCTGATAATCTTCAGATCTCACCAATTTTAAAAAATCTTAATCCTTTGAGAAGGAAATGTTGATGAAAAAACAAGTTATTTTCACTACTCAAGGTGTAGAAGGAGAAAGCCAAAGCTGAGTTTCTAAATGTCATAACTTTTTAAGAATTAACATGTATGGGGCACTCAGCCAGTCTGGCTCAATGGTTGAGTTTTGACCCATGGAACAATAGGTTGCTGGTTCCATTCCTGGTCAGGGCACATGCATGGGTTGTGGGCTCAGTCCCCAGCCAGGGGTGTGCAGGAGGCAGTCAATTGATGTTTTTCCCTTAGATGTTCCTCTCCTCCCTTCCTCTCTAAAAGCAATACAAATGTATTAAGAAAAAAAGAGGAATTAACATGTATGTTACTAGTTTTTGAATACTACCTGTTCCCCTAAGAAACTGTGAAATGAAACCAGATTTGTGGTAAGGAGAGATTCTCCAATGGAAGTAATCAAAAAAATTTTTTTAAGTTTTTACTGATCTTCAAAGGACTCGAATAGACACTTCCCCAAACAGGACATACAAATGGTCAGGAAACATGAAAAAATACTCAACATCTCTAATCATCAGAGATGCAAATTATTATTATTATTCTTTATTGATTTTGGAGAGGAATGGAGAGGGAGATAGAAACATTGAGGAGAGGAAACATTGATTGGCTGCTTCCTGCACACCCCCCATTGGGGATTGGGCACACAACCTAGACATGTGCCCTGTCTGGAAATCGAACTGGCGGCCTCTTGGTGCATGGGTCGACGTTCAACCGCTGAACCACACTGGATGGGCAAGAAATGCAAATTAAAATGACTATGAGACACCACCTCACACCTGCCAGAAGGGTGGCCATCAACAAATCCTCAAACAAATACTGGTGGGGATGTGGAGAAAAGGGGACTCTAATACACTGCTGGTGGGAATGCAGACTGGTGCAGCCACTATGGAAAACAATATAGTGTTTCCTCAAAATATTAAAAATGGAACTGCCGTTTGACCCAGTGATCCCACTTCTAGGAATATATCCTAAGAAGCCTGAAACACCAGTCAGGACGAATATATGCACTTCTATGTTCATAGCAACACTATTTACAATAGTTGAGATCTGGAAACAGCCCATGTGCTCATCAGTGGATGAGTGGATACAAAAGTTGTGGTTCATACACACAATGGAATACTATGCAACTGCAAGAAAGATCTCTTACCCTTTGAGACGACATGGAGGGACCTGGAGAGTATTATGCTAAATAAGCCAATCAGAGAAAGATAAGTACCACATGATCTCATTTGTGGACCATAATGAACAAAATAAGCTTTCGACAAAAAGAGATTCAGAGTCATGGAAGTAGGCAACAGACTAACAAATCTCAGAGGAATGGGGGATGGGAGGGGTGGGAAGACATAAACCAAAGAACTTATATGCATATATGAACAACTAATCAACACGTACATTAGGCTGGGGAAGGAAGGAGGGGGCTCAATGGGGAAAAAAGGGGGAACATCTGTAATACTTTAAAAAAAAAATGTAATTGATCTTCAGAGAGAAAGAGAGAGAGAAACATCCATGTGAGAGTGAAACATTGATCAGCTGCCTCCCACATGCCCTGACTAGGGATCAAGCTGGCAACCCAGGCATTTGCCTTGATCAGGAATTGAACTGGCAACACCTCGGTACATGGGATGATACCCAATCAACTGAGCCACACCGGCCAGGGCATTAAAATATTTTTAAAAGAAAGTATAAATTGCTTTTCTGAGTGAGCTACCTCAGAAGTACACAATGTAGCCTTACAGTCTTTTTTTTCAAAAATTATTTTTATTTATTTTTGTTACAGATGTTTCTCCTTTTTCCCCCATTCACACCTTCCTCCTGATCCTTCCCCCTGCCTGGTCCCCTGCATTGTTGTCTATGTCCATTG